GTCGTTATTCACGACGCCATGTACCATATGAATTTGTCGTCGCCTAATTAGATAATCGTTACAACTTTATTTGTGAGCCTTAAATATTTCGTGTAAGACAACTTTAGTTGTACAGCGGTGCTATAGAATGCAGTAGGTAGACTGATGTTAAATATTTATACAATGTCTTTCACTTCAGTATAAATCAAGTACATACGCTATGAGGATTCACGCGTGATGCCGCTTACTAATATGATAGATAAAATAGTAAATAAATAAGCATTGCTCAGTCCGCACGCTTGGCAGCTGATATGCTATTTTTTATTCACAAATCAGCATAATACAGATATAGTAAATATACAGATAGAGCATTATTAAGTAGGAACGTTGGCTAGAATGAACGTAGATTAGCGGACATTTTGTAACAATTATCTGCAACTTTGTAACGAACTTCGTCGTAAGAAATACGGGGTTTAGTCGCATATAACTACGTGTAAATATGAGTGATGATTACAAAGACAAGTAGCCATATGCAAAGCACAATTTATAATAAATCAATAGTTGGTGTTTCTGTTTATACAGAGATGTAAGCACGGGGCACGTTATCGCAATCCATAAGTATACTTATATCTAACAATATAGAAGCTTTTCTACAACGTGCTGTTTATTTATGTGCATAAATTACAATAGTAAATGCAAAATATCTGCACGGGGCGAATATTTAATTAATCTTGAGATCACGATAAAATGTCTGAAGAAAAGAGATCTCATTTTTATAATGTGATCTCTTTTCTTTCAAGCTAGCTACTAGCCAGTCAATAACTGAACAGTTTCCTTACACGGATCCCGTGTATATGTATAAGAAAGCAGAATTCTATAAATGGATACTGTAACTACAGTAAATATCGTCTCGCCTCGCATCTGGTACAGTTACAGCATACCAAATTTTATTTAAAATCATAGCAGAAAGCGAAACTACCGTCGACGCAACACGTGTTCCTACGTCCTAAAAAGTCAGCTCTATTAAATAAAATCAGTTATAATGCCTAGACTTAATGAAACACTTGTTTCAGATCTGATACAGCTAAATTAGTAAGCGGTTACTTAGTGTTTTGTTGTAATTTGTTTTTAATTGTAGATAATTATGTGTTCAGCCTTGGTTTCACTGGTTCGTTTTTAGGATTCCCTCAGAAACTATTGTATCTCTGCCTCTAAGTAACATTGGTCGAAGAACTGACTTTGTTAATCACCGTAGGTATTTTAATTAACATAATCATTAAGAAACACGTTACAGAGTAATTATATTAAACACTAAACTTCCATATAACACGATTTACTTCCTCTATTTCAACGTAAGATACATTTATTTCCATTCATAATCATAACTATCTTAAAAAATGCATTCTCTATCGAAAGCAGAGAAACCTACCTATCAACTTCGGTTCTACACCTACATTTTTTTCGTACGGAACATTTTTTATACAGAACCCACATTATTATGAACATAGATGCTTGTCAAGTTTTTTATAAAGCTCAGCTCACAAGGTAACTTCTAAATTAAGAACGGTTTAATGATACCTTTTGGAATCAATTGAGTATTATGCTGTTGCCAAGCGGAGTGGCGACCGAAGGTCATTTATAAAGTTTGCTTTAACTCTGTGGCCCGAGATTTATATTTTACATTATGGCTCTTTCTTTTCAAGTTTTAGCGTGAATAACGTTAGATGATTTGTGTCGGAAAATTAGTGAATTTGTATGAGAGTTTTTATCTAACTTACTTTGAACAGATAAGTAATTATTTCTTCTGATTTTGCGTAGTTTTGAATCTTTAATGTTTTTCAGCTTCCACTTAATGGATTGTGGAGGAAAACAGCTTTTCTTCGCAACAAAGTTTTGAGATAAAGCGAAGAAAAGTTGCGAAGTATGAATGCGAGAAATGCAATGAATTAATGAATCACATTCTGAATTTATGGCAGTTTTCGGATATTATCCACTTTAAAAAAAAATGTGAAGCTGTCGTGTCTAATGGGATGGGTAAATTTCAAAATTAACTGTGACTTTAGACAAATTACGAAACATGAGGAAAATTCCGTAATAGGTAGTAAGTGAGTAGGTACCTATTAAATTTAAAGATAGTGACAATACAGTAGTATGAAGAACCAGCATTTATGTCGATATGACGCACTTGCAATTAAAAATTTCGCCAAAGCCAACATTATCTGTTAAACACGCTATTACAGTACTATTAGGACACGAAACTATTCTTTATGGCATGGCAACAAGCTTAGATGATACTCAAGCAACCATAAGGAATTGACCACAACAAATAGATGCTAGTAGGTGCATCCTTAGTAGTTTGGAGGACCAAAATAAGTTTGGCTTAGGAAGTAGTTAAAATTTGAGAACCTCTACATTCCATATGTAGAGTTTCTTACTAACACGAGCCCTATAACTAGAGTAATCATATAATGTGGTAAAAAATTACTAAAAAATAAAATAATATTTATAAAGAACCATAACTCTCCAAAATTATATTTCAGGTATATGAAAATTATGATTTTAACATATTATAATTGCTTGTGTAGCATAAAGTCTCAAAACTACTTATATAAATAGAAAATTATAAGTAATTTGCTATGAAAGTTTAAATGATTTAATTATTTATGTTAATAAATGGAAAGTTGTATGAAATATAGGTAAACATATACATATAATAAAATATCTTATTTACACACCATGTAATACACCCTCTCTATTGAAGATATTCTACTATTGTATACCACATACAAGGCTAAGTAATTAGAAATAAATAATAAGTTTTTATTTATGATTTTATTTTTCCATATTATTAACAGATTGTAATGCAATCATACTAGTTATCCTGCCAGACAGTTTTATCAAAAACAGATATTAAGTTTATTGCAATATTAGATAGACATACACCAATATTATTCTTTAGTACAATTCAAATGTTTTTTTTTATATTCAAATAAATTACATGATTTGAGACTCCATTTACAAAGTTGCAAGGTTTATTTAAACCTTTTTAGTGCTCAGAAAACACAGAATTTGTTAATAATGTAATATTAAATGCTATCACACTGATAGCAAGTGTGATATAAATCCTATTTTCACTGCATAAGTGGGTGAATGACCTTTACAATATGAGCACTGATTTTGTACTATATTGTGTTCCATATAATGTGTGTATAAATGAAAATTAATAATGCAGTATGTAGTATTGAAACAAAGAATTAAATAAAAATGGCACACATATATTTATTAACCCGTCATTCTCATTCCGGTTCATTTTATATCAGATACCACCTAGTTGCAATAGTTTAAATTAATATTCTACTACATAATACATATCACCAAAAAGCTGCTTAGCAATTGACTGCTTTTATCAGTATATTTCAGAGGCTATGATTTTTTACCCGTATTGTCAACAAATTAGTTTGACTATGCCTAATAATTTGTTGTAACATCCAATTTTTTGTTATTATTTGAAGTCTCATAGACCGGGCAGTGAACACAAAATTTTATACCTTTAAATCCCTGAAGGAATGGAGGGCATATACACAATGTAACACTAGACTTTTTACTAGTTTCATTATTGATTAGCATTTTGTGACAAACTTGGCTTGTACTTACACAGCCCCCACTCTAGTAAGGAGTATGCTAAATATATGTATTTATTAATTTTGATTCAATAATCCAGATTTTAGTAGCCAATGGTATTAGAAAAGCTTTATTATTAAAACAAAATTACTTTTTGTATGTGTTCGAAAAAATTATGACTGATGAAGGAAGTTATGGATGTGCTGAATAATATTCTTCCAATTAGATAATCATTTAAATAGGTAGAAATGTTCCAAATTATCGAATTTTGAAAAAAACTGGGTTTTAGGATATGTATTGCTGTAAATGTAAAACTGCAATGAAATAAGGTTAGATATAGGATCCATTTACTGAAATCTAATTGAGGTTAATAATTTTGTATAATTGATGGCAATATAAAATAAACAAACAATTACATCCTACAAAGCACCTCACTAATTCCACTAGATTTACGGCAAGTTCCAATACTCGCTATGTTCTTGTTAAAAAACCATTCAAAATTTAGGCAAAAAATGTACTAAAACACCTTTTGATCAACTTATAAATCTTAAAAGATTAGAATATTTACATTAAAATTTATGATAGTGTGCAGTTTTTTTAGAAAAAAGTAATTGAACCGAGCTCGCTCAACTTTAGAACAAAAAATATAACCAAGTAAAGCTAATGTTAAGATATTTTACACATTGAATGTAATCAGATAAAAACCTATAGATACTATAGTTCATAACACTCCACAGCACTCTACAATGACTATCAGATAGTTTCTATGTACACAGACATAATAGGCATGTACTATAAGCCTATATATACAAAGTTATAGGTTATACATCTTGTTGCCATGCGAGATTTCATTGCTCTTTCGTTAGATAATTGTCGCGTTGCAAACGAAAATTTAATCGTAGTTGCGTGTATAATCGTGTTTCCGACATATTTATGCATTTTCAACACAATTATATTGCTTAATTCACAGTAAAACTAACGTTCTGCGCGTATGTACTTGTACGAGACCTTGTAACCCTAATATGACCTGTCAGATGACTTTATGGACGTGTTAAGACCTAAAATCTAATGTGTATTACCTATTTTCATTCCCTATTTAGCTAAAAGCCTGAATATACCACAACGTTTATCAGTAGAGTTTTATGAATGTAATTTATAGGTTATGAATTGAGTGCCCTTGACAAAACTAAAAGGATGGTCAAGCCAGGTTATCACGCTAATTCCAAGGTGGTTTCACAAGGATCAATGAAACTATATTGGGAATTTGGATCTGATGAAATCTCAAGGCCAGGAATTTGAATTAGATCACTGAAGGGACTCACCGACACACAACATCGATCTCAGAACGTTAGGGCCGCTCAGGGCGCACGGTAACAACACTAAAACACATAAAAGGATACAGGCTAAGTCCAGGTTGAATCCGTCTTTGATGTAGCGCTTCCGGCGCTTGCTAACGATGCCCTTGAGAGGGTTTGTCATCTTGATGTTGGACATGGAGTTGGCCATGGCTGTCAGTTGGTCAACGCGGCGCGGCAGCAGCTCTGCTGCCGCAGTGCCCTTAGCGGGCCCGCCCGCTCCCGGCACCGACCGCTTCTCTGGTGCCTTCCGCTCTCGGCGCCGGCAGCTCACGCAAATACCCATAAAATAACCTCCGCCGCGCAGAACGTGCCCCGCTCATCGGGCCGGCGGCGGAGCGCGAGCGGCCTGCCACCGGAGGCCGCGACCGGTGCTCAGCTCGCGCCCGCCATGCCTTGCGCTGCACGCGCCTCGCCTCGCTGCCTTGCCTCCAGCCGAGCCTCAGCTCCGACCAGAACCGACCACTTCCACACCGCACCGCCAGACCGAAAGCACCGTACACTTGATACACTATAGCATAGCTCCACGCCCGGCACCGAACGCGTTCAAATCTCGCTTCACGAGCGATGAAAAATTATCTCGCGCGAATGGCGTCCATCCTGCGTTTGCACTAGTACACGGACGAAGAGAAACAGTTGCACAAGAAAGAAAGATGGTTATGATGGCCGAAAGTGTACCGGGTGTCTCTTTCACACCACCATACTCTGCACTAGTATGAAAAAGATAAAACACAACCTTAATTTCTAATGGTGGCTAGCTAGCTCTCTTTGTTCACTATGGTTCACCTTTTAATCCGGAAGGTGGCGCTGTAGGTCCTATAAGTTACCGCCACTTTTCGAATTAGAATATCTTATCAAACCAGTTTGTTTCTTCTCTTCAAGATTTCATTTAGAAAAACATAATATTTCACTTTCTACGTTTATAAATTAGTATTATAAAATAAAAAGCAGAAAAATTAAAATCAAACGAAGGACCATTTTTATTTATTGAGTTGGCAAGTTTTTCGTCTATACCACAGATGGCGCTGATATAGCATAGAGGAAAATCATAGACAGCGCGGCAACTTTTGAAAAGTTTTATAATGGAAAAGGTAATTATACCAATCCGTTTCGGAGTTTCGGACTTTTTCGATTTCTGTTTGCACGGAAAACTTAAGTCAAAGTTAATGGTTTTATTTAACTTTATTAACGAGTATCTAAAATGACTGCACTTAAACAATTCGACAACAATTAAATGACAAAGTTAAAACAATTGACTCTTGAATTTAACTCTTTATTTGCAAAAGTCTAGTGTACAGTAAGATGGTAGATCTGTAATAACTTATGTTAATAATTATTTAGACTGCCAATAAAATATAGCATATAAAATAAAATTATTTTTATTCTTATCAAAACGAAAACATGGCCGGGTATAGCCACACTATTCCAGGTACCTATATCTACACAACAACTTAGACGAAATGTAGGTAATCATTTATTCTGCTTGTACTTTATAATAAATTCAGAGAATCATTTTGAATTTCTAAGGTAACATTATGACGATTTACATGAATAGGTATTCTTTGTACAAGTTGTGCAAGTAAATAATATGAGTAACTTATAGCCTGAAGCAAAAAAATTATGTGAGTAACTAGGTATAAATATGTATATTATACGAATTTACTTGCGTATTTTATTTCATGTTTTTGAGACAATAATAAGATAATGATGAAACAGTATTTATTATTGTAGTGTGTATAAACAGAGAAAAGAGATATCCTATATTTATATTTACTTTACATTTAGATACTTTAATCGTTGTGTAATCGCTTTTTTGTATAATACCATTAAAATTATTACTACCTACTATCGGTATAATATTTCACGTCTATTTTAATTAAGCACAACACTATAAAATATAGTTTTTATCATCAAAACTCATCACGGCTCAGTAGTTTTAAGTATCACATTAATGGATAGATGCATAGATAAAATGCTTTGCTAATTGGGTGTCCAGCTTCCGCTAATGCGGTCGTATTTATTTATAGAATTATCATCTTTTTATTTCAGCGGCAGACAAGAACTCCGCGCGGCGTATCTCCTAACTGGTGCACGCAGGTAACCCCGTGAAGCCGTGACGCAATACAAACCAATGTTAGTTTAGGATGTGTTTCTTGGAAACCACACACAACTACTTGCAAGTCATGGACTCGTGGTCTGGGATCTTCCGGAATGCACTAGATATTTATGTTAGGAGAATATTTGCTTGACAAGTTTGAGAGCATTGACGAACAAGTATTACCCAATTTCAAATATTTATTGTTAGATATATTACCCACACCCACATAATAATATCAGTATGAATTTACTGTATCTATTATAGTGGCATAGATAATTGGTTGCGAGTAGACAGCTTGTTGCCACCCGGCTCGCGCACACGCAGCGCACGATGTTTGACGCTACTTATAGGGCTGGCACGTTCGCGAACTCATTGTCATACAAACGCAGGTCCCTGATAACTTTTTGACAGCTATAATATACAACACCTGGTGAATTACAATGTTATCGGCGTCTCTTATGGATTTTGAGTTATTGTGGTTTTAGGCTTTCGTGACAGTAATATTAATGAGCGATTAGAAAAGTAGCGCCCATTGTGTTTTAAAATAGGTTAAGTACCTACTCGATGTCGAATTGGATATCTATCTAAATTTCTAGTTAGTAATTAGGTACGTATGGAGAATGATTTCTCCTGATCCTTGTCATAAGCTTGGATTAGAAGCAGAGGCTGAAATTTTACGCTTATAAGGACAGCTACCAAACGCATACTTTTTTCTTTTGTAAGAAATTCGAAGAACAGCACATCCATAAATATATACAATAAAACATTTTTAAAGAGTAATGTTGATATAAGTTATATCGTGCCACGCACTCCCTGGCGTTAATGAACTGAGAAAAGATGTACATAGTTTCAAGTCACAGCTAGGCTCTCATAGATACATGAGCAACGACAGCACCCCGGTGACGTCGCGCATCCAACGAAAAGCTCTTTTACTATTAGGTAATTTAAAGTCGCAAGTAGGTACCTACTTAGTGCTTTTTTGAGCTAATTCACGCAAGAGAGAAAGTTTTTTTTATATAATTAAGTAAACATCTATATAACTTAGCTGCCACTAACATAACCTAATTATGAATATTATTTTTGTCAAAATGACGTACAGCCCTACTATTTATAGTTAAGACTTATCAGATTCTAAGAACTACCATTGATGACTATACAGTTGGAATAAAGATTTCATTTCTAGATTTTTTAAGGCTTTTTGTAAACGTACCTAAGTAGTACTAGGTATAATATTTAGCATAGTTTTTATAAGCGTCAGCAGCTATTGAAGTGTTCAAATCGTTGAAATTTTGTTGATGTCCCACTCAGAATACATTATGTATAGGTATTTTGTATTTTAGAGGTATGAGGACAGGGTGGAAAGTCCCTCATCCTCCATTGAAAAGGGAGGATCCTCCGACCAGGCGAGGTGTTCGTGCCTGGCGGGCTACTGCCCGACGGTTGTTGTCGGGATATCTGTATGGGTGCTAATTGTGTTGAAAACTCTTATAGCGCGATGTAGACTCTTGCTCGTGATTGGTGCTGTTGTTTATGTAGTGCGCTAGATGTCGCTACATCACTCCCCTCCGAGACCGGAGGTCGTTAGCTGGTTGAGACGTCTGTGAGATGCTTGTCGAGCCAGTTGATGGTTTCAGTGCGTCGAATCTGTCTGCGAAGATGCCCCAGTGAGTCGGGTGGTGCAGTGCTGAAGAGTGGCTAGCTGCTGCGTCGACCAGGAGAGGGAGTACGTCTCTGCTAGCTGACCGGCCGGTGCAGTACGCTGTGCCGAAGATTCTGATGAGGCTGTAGGTGCTGACCAGGATTGCGCGTTGGCTGCATGCTGGTGGTCAGGGAACCCGTTGTAGCCGTGGAAGCTGCTGACTGTAGGATTCGCTGCTTGAAAGCTCCAGGAAGTGATGACGTCATGGCTATGAAGTAGTTGCACGAAGGCTGCGTTGATGTTCATATGTTCGGGGTCACCAATTTAGAGGTATGAGGACAGGGTGGAAAGTCCCTCATCCTCCATTGAAAAGGGAGGATCCTCCGACCAGGCGAGGTGTTCGTGCCTGGCGGGCTACTGCCCGACGGTTGTTGTCGGGATATCTGTATGGGTGCTAATTGTGTTGAAAACTCTTATAGCGCGATGTAGACTCTTGCTCGTGATTGGTGCTGTTGTTTATGTAGTGCGCTAGATGTCGCTACAGTATTATCTATATCTATACTAATATTATAAAGAGGTAAAATTTGTAAGTTTGTATGTAGGGGGTACCTAATCTTTGGAACCGCTGGTAGGATTTTCAAAATTCTTTTACTGACAGATAGTACAATGTTTCTGTGTGCTATAAAACATCACACTACGATTAAATGTAGCCGAGTAGGGGGTGAAACCGCGTGTGAGTAGCTAGTTGTTCAATAATTTACCAACACATACTATGGTACTTTTTGTTAGGTATTATATTTAAAAATGGAGAATACACTTACCTACATCCTTTCTCGCAGTGGGGTATCCCTCGTCAAATCAGTCGCTAATCTATTCGTGGCTCTGCAATGTTTAAAACTTGTCCTCGTGCCAAACGAACGTGTATAATGACGTCATTAGCCTTTAAACTTGCGACCTTCGGTCACCATTTTTCTTATCAAGATTATCAGACGAGTCCACATTTTGGCAGCCCTACAACGCTCGGGTCGCACCTTGTCGATATCGATGTACAGATAAAATATACGCTCGGTGACAGATGATTCATATGCCTAAGTAATTAGTGATGACCTTGTGAGTAACGAACTGGAATAATTCATCATCCGCTGTGGGACACAGTTACTGAGTTGTAATTGTGAAATGACGACAGATGAGACGAGCCGAGAGAAACTATTGATTCTGGTCCAACAAACACGGTTCCGTATTTGCGTTCCTAATAAGAACAAATGTTTCTATAATGAACCTAAGAGTACTTCAACCTCTATGGTTACACGTGCTAGATATTGCTTTGTCTTGTTTTAACCCCAACGGGTAGCCTAGATACCTACTGCACAAATGCCGGCTGTACCGCAAACAGGTGAACAATTAAACTTATATCTGCACAAATACTTGTAAATTTTTGATTGCCATCTTTGAACAGGTGTTGCGGAAACGCAGTTGTGTCTAGAAAAACTGGACAAAGGAAAGAAAGCGTGCTACGTCATCATTGAGAGCAGTGAATCACCACGTTACACCAGCTTTTGTTTCTGCAGTTGTGCAAAGGCGGCCAAAACAATGTTTAAACTTGGTGCTTTTGTCAATGGTTTTTATTTAACAAAAGGTGTTAATTCTACTAGATTTTCCAGCAGGTGCGGTACTGCCAATTTGTCTGAATATAACGATAGCATTGTCTATTGGTCTCGTCTCACGTAGCCGGTTTGAGCGTTAATCATCACGCTAATGGCGACTTCAAACTTATTAAGTAGAAATTATAAGTTCAGGTTTCCTCACGATGTTTTCATCGTCCGAAAAACGTTCGAAACCTGAACTTATCTACCAATTTCTCCTCCAGTGAAGGAGAATCTTCACAGTTTAAACGTGGTGTCAAAAAAAAAGTAGATGACATTTGGTATATCTACGTAGGTTGACTGTTCGGGTCTAGACTACAGACTTACCTTCAAGAGTCGACACTCATAGATAAAACCTAGACCTGTC